GGTGGCAGTTCAGAGGTCGCAACTTCAGGGAACTCCCTGAGAACAGTTCGAAAGGATGTGAAAACACTACATGGCTCATCGGTAACGTTCGAAATCTCTCCAACCGGTCAACTAAGAAAGACATTTTCTTATGCCTTTACTGCAGACAGACTAAGCCTTGCGGAACACTCTTACCTAGTAGAGAGACTTCAGCGCAAATATAACCACCTCAGGAAGCTCCCCCTGCAGACGTTCACAGCAGTTCATCCACTTCTGTTGATAGGATCTGACTGTCCGCACTTGGGGACCCCGATCCAACCTGTACGTCTCGGCCCACCTGGGGGCCCAGCTGCAGTAAAGACCAGGAATGGTTGGGCACTGCAAAGGCCAGTCAATTCCCTCCAACAAAGAAACCGCCCACAACAGTGTTTATTCATTTCAACCATCTCCCCGGCAGCCGAACTCTTCAAACAAGTAGAGAAGCTCTGGCAACTGGACACCCTGTCATATAGAAATGAGAAGCTGGTGACTAGGTCACGGAGAGACAAAGAAGCCATGAATCTTTTAGAGGCAAAGACTAGAAGAGTGGAAGTGGATGGGGTCCTCAGATATGCCACCCCACTATTGCAGGTGAGTAACATGCCTTTACTAACGGCGCAGCCGGAAGCGGTACTCTCCAGCTTACGTAGCACAGAGAAGCGCCTTAGCAGAGACTCAGTGAAGGCAGAGCCATATCAGGAAGAGATTATGAAGCTGAACAAAGCAGGCTATGTCCCAGAAGTTAGCCGGGAGCTGCTGAAGACTTCAGAGGAGTCATGGTTTATTTCCCATCACCTGGTGACCCACAATGGGAAGAATCGGATCATGTTCAACTGTTCCTATACCTATAGGGATAAGAACCTCAACGAGCTACTGCTGTCCGGCCCAAACCTGGGCACATCCCTCCTGGGTGTCCTTCTGCGGTTCAGGGAACATTCCGTTGCTGTCAGCAGTGACATAAAGGGAATGTTCCACCAAGTGAGGTTGTTGCCTGAGGACCGCCCTCTGCTGCGCTTCATCTGGTGTGATCTACAGAGAGACTCCCCACCTAGCGTGTACGAGTGGCAAGTCCTTCTATTCGGGACTACTTGTTCCCCATGCTGTGCCATATACGTACTACAGAGGCATGTACATGATCACACCCACCCAGGCAATGCAGTGCGTGGGTGCATTGAGAAACACTTCTATGTGGACAACTGGCTACAGAGCTTCCCTACCCCAGATATAGCCAGAGAAGTCGCAGACCAGCTGAGAGGGTTGTTACTGGAGGGAGGCTTTGAGCTGCGACAGTGGGCTAGCAGAATGCCAGACTTCATTGGTCACCTGCCTAAGGAGATAAGGTCAGAGAGTAGTCAACAGTTGCTAAATCACACAGACATGGACCTGCAAGAACCTGCCCTGGGGCTGCGTTGGTTATGCCACTCAGATGTGCTGTGGTATAAATCACGGCTGCTGGAGAGCTCCCCTGTCACCATGCGCCACATCTACAAAGTATTAGCCAGCCAATACGATCCCATAGGGTTTCTCACACCATATACTATGAGGGCCAAGGTACTTGTTCAGCAGTTGTGGGAGAAGAAGTGGGAATGGGACGACCCTCTGATGCCCGGCGAGTTGCTCACAGCATGGCAAAATTGGGAGAATGAGTTACAGTACCAGGACCGCATTAGTATGCATCGCTGCTACGTTAGTCCAGCCATGGAACATTCAGCCTACAAGCGAGAGGTCCACATTTTCTGTGATGCGTCTCAACGTGCGTATGGCAGTGTGGGATATCTACTCACAGAAAACGCAGAGGAGCATGTGGAGGTGGCTTTCCTGACAGCTCGGTCCCGAGTGGCCCCCAAGCGCCAGCTCTCCATGCCACGGTTAGAGCTGTGTGCTGCACTTACGGGGGCACAACTTGCAAACGTGCTAACCAAAGAGCTTACCTTGAAGATATCAAGAGTGGTGATGTGGACAGACTAGACGACTGTTCTTTCTTGGATCCAGTCAGACTCTTGCCGCTTTAAGGTGTTTGCAGGAACCCATATCGCAGAAATTCAAGAGCTGACTGATAGACATGCTTGGCGCTACATGGAGATCAGAAAACCAAGCGGATGACCTCACCCGGGGAAAGTCACTGAAAGACCTCTCAGGTGAGAATCGTTGGGTTTATGGACCCCTGTTCCTGTGGCAGCCACCTGACCAGTGGCAAGTGCACCCAGTTGCAATGCGTGAAGACATCACTGAAGAGTTGTGAAGGTCCATGACCTGCCTGGTTAGCACAGTAACTGGCACCCACCTGTCCATACCTGATGCTCAGTAGTTTAGCACCTTCGGAGAACTGGTGAAAGCCACCGCGGTGTACCTTCACGGGGCTGCTGCTGATGCTAAGGGGACTCCCACAGCAGAGGAGTTCAAGGAAGCGGAACTCAGCATCCTGCGGTCCGCTCAAAGAGACAGCTTCCCTGAAGAAGTCCAGTGTCTGGAAGCTGGGAAACAAGTCCCTTCCTCCAGTTGCTTAATCACGCTGGCTCCAGAATACGATGCATCAGTCCAGCTGATATAGGTTAGAGGTCGCCTGAGGCGTTGTCAGGAACTGGAGGATGGTGTTGTTCATCCTATAGTCCTTGACCCGAGACATGCTGTGACTAAGCTGCTCATCCGACAGGTTGACCATGATCTGAAACACCCTGGTGCAGAGCGACTCTTTGCAGAGTTGAGGAGGAAATTCTGGATCCTTCATGGCCGTGAGGCTATAAGAAGAGAACAGCGCTCATGTCCTGAGTGTCAGAGATGGAGAGCCCAACCTGTCAACCCCAAAATGGCAGACTTACCCCCCGCACGACTCAGGCTACACCAACCAGCCTTCTACTCTATAGGGATTGACTGTTTTGGTTTGATGCAGATTAAAGTCGGCCGACAGAATGAGAAACGCTGGGGCTTGCTTTTTAAATGCCTCAAGACTAGAGCTGTCCATATTGAGGTGCTGTCCAAAATCAACACAGACTCCTTCCTGATATCCTTGAGGAGGTTCATATCCCGCCGGGAGAAACCAACAGAGTTGCTCTCGGACCAGGGCACCAATTTCAGAGGTGGAGATAGAGAATTACAAGAAGCCTTCCAAGCCCTCCATCCTTCTCTCCAAGCAAAGCTGGCAGAGTACCAGATCAATTTCCGTTTCCACCTAGTGCCCCTCACCACGGTGGCTCCTGGGAGCGGGAAATCAGATCCATCAAGGCTGCTCTAACTGCTACCCTGGGCTCACAAATTCTCAGTGGAGAAGTGCTTAACACCATCCTGGTTGACATTGAGGGTATCCTCAATTCCAAACCCCTTGGTTACGTGTCATCTGACATAGCAGACTTGGACCCGGTAATCCCTAATCTGTTCCTGATGGGGCGGCCAGACCCCTCCCTACCTCAGGCAGTATACCACGACTCAGAGCGGCTCAGCCGGCGGCAATGGAGAGCCTGTCAGGTGCTTTCAGATCGCTTTTGGGTGCGGTTCCTACGCCACTACCTGCCCACACTACAAACCCGGTCCAAGTGGCAATCGGACACATCCCCTCTTCAGCTGGACACAGCTGTGATGATCATCGACCCTCAACTGCCCAGAGCATCATGGCCTGTTGGAAAAATCAAGCCGGTGTTTTCTGGGGCTGATGGTCTGATACTTACAGCAGAGGTTGAAGTTCGGGACCACACCTATGTCCGACCTGTGAGCCGTCTTATCAGACTCCCTGCTATACCAGAGGAGAATGAACAGTGATAGACTGGGTACGACAAATTTGCTGGAGCATTTTTGGGGGGGGCTGTTCTGAAGGCTGTATGCCTTAGCTGGGGACTTGGGCCGATCCGGCCACTAGGGGGCACACTCGAGCTCAATCGGGCTGGGTGCCACTACTATGAGGGAGAAGAAGAGACTGACGACGGTGATTCGAGTGTATTGCAAGTAACAGGTTGTGTTTGTAACGTTGTATCCGTCCCTCTGCAGCTTGTGGTTCAGTGTGCGTCCAGAGAAACGTAAGTTATATTGTTTTTTTGCTGGATGAAATTATTGTTGTTTTATGTTTAATCTGTTAGGCCAGCTGGTTGAGTTATATCTGGTGCTACAGTTCATATTTGCTAGCAGTGCTAATTGCTAGTTACCTCAGATGGTTTAAATGATAATTTATGTTATATTTATGCTACTGACCATTTCCTTTGTTGTCAGTGCCGGACATATATAACTATTATTTCATTTGTGTTCTATTGTTAAATATATTAATAATTGTTATTATTTGTTGATGATTGTTTAAACAATCAAATTATTATTTTTTAGAACCACACTGGATTAAAGTGCCATAAAAGGACTGACTTTCTCCTTCATTTTTTATAAGTCTTGGGGGAACTTAGTGCGTTCTGACAGACGCACACTTCGTGATTACAAATTAGAGAAGCCCGTCTAATAACTTTGAACCTCCGCTACACTTTCTGTTTTTTTTTTTTTGATCCATCTTAAAATTGTTCCTTTAGACACAAAGAAATGGCTGCAGGGCTCTGCTTGATGCACAGCAGCTTTTAAGACCAGATTCATTCATTTCTCCCTGCAGGTACAGTATACACAAATGAGACAGTGACCGTTCAAACCTTTTATTTTAGCACAACCAGGAAATTGATAATGTGATACATATCAATTGCTTAAGTACTATCCTACTGAATTAAAGAAAAAGATGGTTTTTATTCAAATATGTGTTTATATAGACCTATATAAAAGTCAGATGAAATCCAAATTTGATGGAACAAAGATAAACCCAAAGATAGAAACCTGCCAAAAATCAGAGATTTAAACCAAAATTTGAGCTTATGTTCCCCTTATAAACATGTACCTACTTAGATTTTTAAAGCCCTTCAGTTTTCACCTTGTATCATTGTATGCCGGCGAAATTTCCCCTCATTATAATGATCACCTGTGGCCTAAAAGCTTGGTTGTTCTTTAAGGATAAAATGATCAGAATCCTGATGACTGGTCTGTCTTCCTCTCCACTCCACTGGATCCACCTCCACTCATCCAGGCTCTGGATCAGGCCAACCAATCATCTGCAGCCTGGCAGTCTGTCCAGGTGACAATCACCTGAGAAGACACAAGAACTTTTACCGTTATCTGTTCCCATAAAAAATTATTTTCTGTTTACTTTTTTTGACCTAATCTAAAGAGCCTAGACTGTTATAACAAATCTTTCAGCTAATTATTTAATCTAGAAGATACCAAACAAATATTGGAAATACAAACATATTGGCAGCAAGGCTGGATTATCCAATGAGCTTTCTGAGCAGGGGCCTAGGGGCCCATGTCAGTTTGGTCAATACATGGTAGCCAGTGACCAATAACACACATGCTGTCACTGGTAATTTGAAAATAACTCTGAGGAATTATATGACTCCTCATGCACAATTGTGGTAACCGTGGCAACCAGTATGTGCGCCCCCCCCAACAACAAGAAGTGGTTGTTTCAAACAGAGGAGAACAAAAGTGTGTTTGTTAAGACGTGTGCCATCAATAAACAGGATCTTTGGTTATTGATCTCCATTTGGACGCTGAACTCAACAACATTTAGAGCAGATGCTCTGCAGGTTCAGAGCGGTGCTCTGGCTTCCCCACAAAAAGGAAAAAAAATGTAAGATTAAGATTTCTGAATCAGGGATATTCCTTCCTGTCTGTGTCGATCGGACCGAGATGATCTTACCCGAGCAAAAAAATTTAATAAATCACAGCAAACATTACGCTGCGATGTGAACAGGTGTCTTGAACTGTGTGCACGTCAGATACCAGGACTGCTACAAACAGGTGAGTTTCATTGTTCCAGAAACCTAGACTGATGAATAAATTGGGCCGCCACATATTCTTATTCCTCTTTATTAATTTCTGCAGTAGATTTTTTTCTGCTTTCCCACCCAGCATCCACCAGGCTGAGATGCCATAAGAACCCAAAATGAAATTAAAATAAATGTACTCCCAATCCATTTTTTTTATATAAGCTATTTTATTGGGTATGCACTGAATTGATTTTCCTATGCACAAAAAATGTGCGTGTAATGGAAAGTTGCGCAGCTTAGAGGGAACTTTGACTTGAGGATTTATCTCATCAAACGAGGGGGTGAAATGAGGCCGATGAAGATCTGGAGGGGATGTGAAAACTAAGCTGGGTTCAGATCTGAAGGAGGCCACCTTTAGCCAGACAGCAGGGACCACAGCTGCAGCAGCAGCAACTCACAGGGGCGTCACACACCTGTCGCCAGACAGAAGAAAGACCACAGAAGATGTGGAAGAGATGGAACAACAATTAGGAGAGCAGACAGCATGTCTAATTTAATTATAACATCTTTTAATTCAAAATTTTATTTTGTTCCAACAGAAAATTGGTGGCCAATTTTTGGTTTGAAAACATATTATAAAAAGCGTAAAAGATTCTTTACATAAAAGTGAAAAAAATACCATATACCGATGATAAATGATTGGCCGAAATTAGGTGTACAGGCTGACGTATAACTAACAGGCCGGCATAAAATAACGAAATTCTGATAAAGACTAGATTTATATACATGTTTAAGCTAGAATGACATTTAAATATGATTTCCCTACAACTTTAACAAATTAGAGTATTTTTAAAATGTGGGTTCAAAATAAGATTTAGCAGATAAAAAATGTGAACCTATCTCAATATAACTGTACTTGTCCTCTAAATCCAGGCCTGTTAGGCCGGTGGAATATCTAACAGACATTGATGAAAACTGAGCAGCTGACTGCCTGAGTAACTCATATTAGGCATAATATGAAAAATAATTGAAATTTTGACACTTAACATCTACACTGACCAAAATCCACAATGTTTATTTTCTTCCTATTTTTATATTTGTGCTACAGAGAACACAAAAGCTAATAAAATACATTGAAATCAATTACTTCAGTTAAATTAAGTATTAAACCTGTCATATATGTTGTGAATGAGTAGTGCTGATCTAAAATGTCTCCCTGACACTCTTAAAGAGATTTTAAAGTTTTTCTTTTTTATTTCATTATGAGGATGATTTCTTGTTTGAACTGAAAACAGCGGAACTGTTGTACCTAAGTGGTCCACGCCATGCTGATGAAGGCAGCAGCTCCAGGTTTGGTTCTGATAGATCTGCGTCTCCGAGGTCCATCACACATCTGCAAGATAAAGAGAGACAGAGTCCATAAAGCTGCTGAGAACAATCTGTAGTTTGTTTTGATTTGTAACTTATGTTTGTAGGTAATAAACAAAAAATGTCAAATAAACAGTTACAGATTCATGTTGTGTGTTTGACTTTAAGGCATACCGGGACGCAGCTGTTCTCCTGTTTGACACACAGCTGCAGTTTACAGTGCAGGTAGACCTCAGCAGAGCTTCCAGAGAACTGGAACATGTTGAAGGAGAAGTAGTTGGAGGTTCCCTCTCCGTTTCCTTCCACCTTCACCGTCTGGTCCTCAGAGTTTGGACAACTGCCGACAAAAGTGAAAACAATCTTAGTTTAATGGTCAGATTAGTGAGATTATAAAGCTCGTCATGACTGGATCTCAGCAGCAGTCTCACCCATTCTTAATCAGGTAATATTTGCGACCATCAGTGGGGGAGGCCTGGTCTGTTGCCCAGCAGGAGTCGGTTACCACAGCAACCAGGTTTTCATCCAGGCCGTCGGTGTCCAGCTCAACCCAGACCTTCTGGTTGAGCCGTATTTCTGTGTTTGAGTCCACAGCTTGTGTTCGGCCGGCGTCAGCGTAGGCCTTCATCGTCAGAGAGTAATTCCAAGGTCCGGATGAGATGACTTGGACCACAGAGCTGAAGGTAACCCACACAGATCCATTAGTTTCGTTGTTTAGAAAAAAGGAAACTTTTCTCATGTCTAACCAAAATGTTGATTCACATACGTTTTTTTTTCTAAACTATCTGGATAATTAGGCTTAAATCAAAATAATCAGTTGTTCATATTCTATTTTTGATTATGTAGTCTTTGGTGAGTTTGCTGAGTCAAACCAAGTTTTTTGTTTACCTGAGTTTTAATCTTGCTGTTTTTGTCTTTGCCTCTCGGCAGGAAGTCATCCTGCAAACTGTATGTTTCAGATCTTCTGAGAACCAAACTGAGCTGAGGATTCAAGTCTGTGGTTTGGATCAACCTTTCCCCCCAATAATTGTCTGGGGCTTCTCTCTGAGCAGGGGATTCATCTCCACAATAACCCGTTCAAGTACCGCAGGGAATCTATGTGGCAGTCAGCTTCTCAGTTCACCAAGGATCAACCGCAGTCTGGGTAAACCCTGTCCGTCCACCATCAAACAAGACAATCAGTGGAACATCCCACACCGACTGGATTCAATAAAAGACACCTTTTTCTGGAAACTTGAGTCTGCAACCTATTCCTCCTCTTCAAGTCAAGTATTCTAATTTCCCACTGAGCCTGAACTAACCGCAGTGTCTTCCCCTCACTTTCCAGTTTCGGTTTCAGAGCAACACTGGACTCATCTCATTATACTAAATAAACCTGTTAAACTTTTCCCTGGTCTCTCTGTTTGGTCTTCTGCATTTGGGTCAGATCTTTAATTAAATCATGACATATCATTTGGCAAAAAATGTCCAACAGGCAGTTTATATTAGGGCATCCAGGACTCCAACTTGGCCTTGAACTCCAGAATAGCCCAACAAAAATAATCAACCGCTAGTTTTCCTCAGCTGACCACTGTACATTCTTTGCTACCATGCGTGAAATGGTAACAATGCTCTGCCGTTGTTTGCCTTTTTCTTCCTCTCACACCGAACACTTACCCTAACCCTGTTTTTTGATGTGGTTTTATGGTAAAAAAAAAAAAAAAAAACTCTTTAAATTCCCCATCTAGCTGTTATAACAAAAACATGAATAAATATTATCATTGAAGGATTCATACTTTAATTGTTGCCACATTATTCCTTACACCCATGTCTAACTTAAGTTAACTTATGATAAGCATTGATTGACAGCAAGTCTAAGATTATCTGGTAAATACAGTCATGATCTGAAAGAGCCGTTATGATGACGTCCTCCAAATATGCTGGATCATCCCAGCAATAAATTCTCTATTGCTCATAAAAAAAGCAGAGGTGATATGATAACCACATGCCATGTCCAATGAATACACAGCCTCTGTACCTTATTTGTATCTTTTTTTTACTTTTCAAAAATCTAATTTTATATTTGGGATATTGATTGTTGGAAACCAGGCCTATCTGACTATACAGTTGAACACAGCTGACAGTGGCTGTCTGTCTAATTACAAAAGGGCCTCTAGTGACAAAAGAAAGTATTGCAAGAAGAGAAAAATTTGCCTTTGATTTATTTTTTTACTTACCTTTCAGGGCAGAAAATAAAACAAGGGAAAAAAACTTAAAACATTTTTTTGTTGTTTTTTTCCAGTGCAGTAAACTGTTAACACACTTAGGAAAGTTGTTTTGCTAAAGACAATAATTTAACCAAATGATTTAAGCTGTAGATATTTAGCCAGCTATCAAATCAGAAAATATATATTTAGTTTTTTCAAATGTCTGTATATGAAGATGATGCTGAATAAAAAAAAAAAATGAAATTATGTTGCTTCCCTTTCGAGAATCTGGGTCTAATAAACTCGAAGGAGGTGACCAAATGTATTTATGATTTGTTCTTTTTTATATATAGAAAGGAACTAACTTAATTCTTAACATGTAAACAGCCACAACACACCTGGACTTGACTCTGAAGGCCACAGTCTTTATATCAGGATCAGTGTGAGTGCAGGAGAAGTCGATGGAAACCTGGTCTTGGCGGGTAATGCCATCAGAGGAAAGGTTCTGGGTCATGATGGTGTTTTTGTAGACAGTTTGGCTGTTGTTTTTCTGAAGATTGAAGCAATAAAATGTTTGAAACGGATATTATTTAACGATTACTGGGTTGGAACTAAACCAGAACCTAAACTGAAGAAAATACACTGGTTGATTTAAACTATAATGATCTAGAGGAGCGGGAACCTACCGTGATTTCAGTCCCACATAGGTTGGAGCTGTTGAAGCTGAAAGTCACCATGTGGCTCTGCTCATCCACCTGTCCTCTGCAGGTCGCCTCTTTCAGCTGCAAGGCAGAGTAGTCGATGCCTTTTTCCTCCAGGAGACAATCGACCAGAGTCAGAGAAGCAGAGTTCAGACTGCAGACCGGTGAGTCACCTGAAGGTTACAGTGTTGGTTAGGAAAATCCCAGTTAGAGGGTTTGCTCCAATCATTCAGACCTGTCTTTATGGTGTCACAGCTGTCATACCCAAAGAGTTGGTCTCTCTGTACTTGGAGGCAAAAATGGCTCTACAGAGGCAGCCAGTTTCTCCACCAGCAGTCTTCTCTCCACAGAACTCATGATCGCTGCAGGTCCTGTCCTGGCAGAAGGCCCTAGGAGGCGCTGCAGAGCAACATTCATCATGTATTAAGCTGAAAATGGTAAACTTCTTCAGAACAGATGAAGACAATCAGGTCTCACAGCACTCAGCCTTGGACCTCCAGTCCCCCAGGGTGCTGTTGCTCCTCATGCTGCAGGCTCTGGCGTAGGCCTCCAGGAACTGACACCTGAGGCCGTCCAGATCAGGATAGCTGCACAAAGTGTCTTTGCAGACGGCGATGTGGGGCTCTGGGTCAACGCCACAGGATGTAAAGGGCGCCTCCTGTAGGATGTTACAGCTGCTCCACATGTAGAAAGAAACATGGAGAACATAGATGATGGGGAAAGAGATTTATCTCCCATCAGAGTTCAGGTCACATGATATTAAAGATGTGATGTAACATGTAGTTTCCCACAGAGATCAGAGTTAAACACACAGATGTTTCTGAATGAATCTGCTCACCGTTCAGACATCTTGGTGCAGTTGATCAAACTGTCACTGGTGTCGGTGTGCTGCTTCTCACAGCTAGGGGGCGACACACAACAAGGTCAGGACTGATTCCTGAGCAGATGTAGAGTCCACTCATCCAGCAGCAGCAGTCAGTGAGGAGGTCTTACCTGGTGGAGTTGTCCTCAGAGAGCCTCTCTTCACTCAGAGACCTGCTGGAGTTTCCACACAGACCCTGTGGAGACTGTCCAGGTGGTCCTGGATAGGATCAGGACACAATGAGAGTCAAACTGGAGGAACACAGCAGCTGAAACAAGGACAGCAGAGTTTAAGTTCATCATGACCCAAACCTGACCAGTGTTCTGTACCTTCCAGGTGGATCTGTGTGGTGGAGCCATCAAAGAAGACAGAAGCAGTGAAGTCTGAGAGCGTCACCTTGGCAGTGACTCCAGTTTGGTCCTTAGAGAGCTGCACGCCGTGAACAGTCTGAACCGAGCTGTTGAGGTTCAGCTCTGAGTTGTTCAGCTGGTTCACAAAGAGACAAAGTGGAGGAAACACTGAGGGGAACGTTTCAAACCCTGACTGTTTCTATGGCAACAACCACTAAGTTTAGCAGCATTCAGAGAGCTGATGCCACTGAGGAAACCAGAGACACCGTCAGGATCAAACTACTCTCTGATCTACGACCTGTGTCTGCAGGCGACTCACCACAACTCTGCCTCCTTGGTTCAGACCAATGGCCTGTCCTGCCAGTTGCAGCGTCACGCTGTCCAGGAAGCTCACATCTTTACGACGGCGCTCCTGGAAGTTGGCCAGAACCTGGAAGCCTGGTGCTGATGGGATCCTCAGCAGAGAGTATGAACAGCGATCCTTCACAGAGTTCTGCTGGCCGTGGAAGTCGATGACAGCGGGACCTGTCACCGTGCAGATGGCGTCCATCATGGAGTCAGAGGAGCACCTGATGAGGGCAGGAGGCATGCATAGGGTCTATCAGTGAATGAGAAAGTACCTCAAAACTTATTGTTTATATTATTTATATCTGTTACCTAATTCAGACACTAAGACTCACATATAACACAGACTGATTTATTTAGAGTTTTAATTTCTGTTCATTATGAAAAAAGCACAAGGTGGCAGCTTGCTGGAGCTCATCTTTATTATTTTGAGCCTTCCTTTCTTCCTCTTGTGTCATTGTTTCCTAGAGGTTCATTTTGTTCCTTCTAGTGTTTCGTCCCATGAAGCTGGAAGACTTTAGACGTTAATTTTGGTTTAAACATCGCTCTGTTATCTGTTGAATGCAGCAGCACACAGATGTCTACGTTTTCCTGAAAAGGTCCAACTATTCTGCCTTCATCAGTTGTGGCCCATAAATCTGTCTCTATTTCCTCCTCTTTCAGGAGGAATGGGACATAATTCCAGCAAAATCACGTGAGAAGCTTTTTTTATCCTTTAAGAATCGTTTTCAATAAATTCAGCTGCTGCATGGAAGACCAGCTTATTTAGCAATGACCTTTATGGCTTCTTCTCCTTCTGGAAGCTTCTGGACAACGCTGCAATAACCTGCAATAACCTCAGGACTGTCTGTCTTATAATGTTGTCCAAATACCACATCTGTTTTTGGTTAAGTATGTTTATTATTTAAATATTAAAGGAAGCATCATTTTATTTATTTATTTATTTGTTTTTTTTTTTTGTTTTTTCCAGAAACCCCAGATCAACACTGTTCTAACTTCAACTGAATCAACCACCTCTCCTTCCTCTGTAAAACCATTGGATCTATCTGTGTGGGAGTCTGGCTGCTATCCATATATATGCGTATCTGTGCAACGAGAGCAAAGTGGAACCAAAGTCAAATTCCTTGTTCTGCCACAACTTGGACCAATAAAGCTGATTCTGAAAACAATAGACCACCAGTGGGCAGTCTACTGTTCCTCATCCCGCCCTAAAAATACCAAAAGTTGACCTACTGACCTGCCGTTGCCTTGACAACGCTCCAGAGGTCCACAGGTGGAGTTCTGCAGGATGGCATCCTCAGAGCAGATGAGACTGACACAGGTTTGAGGATCAGAACTGACCACATCACCTCGGTTATAGAGACCACCTGAGAAAATAAGGAAGATTTTCTGAGCTGAAAACTCAGACATTTATGAATAATTTATTTTGTCCCAAAACAAAAAGAATATATAAAATTTGACTATTTGATTTTAGCCACAGAATCAGGAGGTTTATGCTTGAATGGAGAGATTCACAGACCTGAGTGTCTGCAGCCGGTCAGGTCTGCATATGCAAAACCTAAAGTCGCATTAATAGACTTGACTTTGATTCCATCCACCAGAATATCAACCAGCTACAAAACAACAAAGAGTCAGAACCACAGGTCTGAAACATAGACGGAGCAACATGGAAACAAACATGTCCTGATAAGAGAAAATCAGCAGGAGGAAAGTTTGTTATAGAATCATCATTCAGTTAGAGGAGATCCTTTATTCAGACTTTGATCACGGTTCCTTACCGATGGAATCCAAGCCTCATATATTAGAGCAGTTTCTGACCCAAAGCTGAATATGCCATAAGCTCCCTGTAAGAAGAACAATTTAAGCATGTTTTACTCTTTATAAAAAAACATAAAAAAACACTTTAAATTGCATCAGATACAAAATATTACAGAAGCATCGGTGGTCTGTGGTGATTTTTTAACCTAACATAAACATTTAGTGTTTAACTTTTTTCTTTGAAAGTTTAATAATAAAAAAGTAGATTGACTTAATGTTGAAGAACTTACAGATGGAGAGAATATGGCAACATAGCATTCCATGGTGGTGTTTATGGCTGGCACATTCTGATGAATGAGAGATTCTAGATTTTTATCCCTTCCTCCAAAATCAAACCGTGCCTCCTCCACTTTTGGTCCCACCAAACAGTTGCCTTTGGTCTGAGGGTCGTAGAATCCGTTGAAACAGCTCACTAAGTTTTCACTCGTAAAGTTCACCTGGAAGAGTCAGAACCAGAAAATAAAGACTAGAATCAACATTTCTAGGACAAGCAAGTCATCTGTAAACATGGATGAAAAACATGTTTGAGAGTAAAACATGTTTGAGAGTAAAACACTGTTGAAGGTCCCAGAAAAAAATAATCAATACACATTTTTCTGTTTAACTTTCAGACTGAAAAATACTATAAATCAATTTGATTTGAATGAAACCTGGACTCTCAGCTGTTGGATGGTGGAGTCATGAGTAACACCTGGCAGCTCAACTATTTAAAGGTTTTGCAGAAAGGTTTAAATGTTACAATAAATTGAGTCTATTTTTTCACCTTTTAATGCCATAAGCATGAAGTAATGATAACTATCAGACATGTGAATAAAACTCTGGGAGGTCTTAGCTCCTGATCTTTAGAAAGTTTTACGTTTTTAAACCCGTGCAAACTTGTTTTTGACAAAGAAGCTGCAAAGTGATTTGCCTTTTGCAGTTCAGCAGACAGCGAGTGCAAAGCTTGCATGTTTGCCTTCATCAATATACTGATCATATTTTAATAACCAGAATGTGTTAATTAATGGGTGGAGGAAATACAAATATAAAAGATTTACCATGTGCAAAGGGATGTTTTTAAATCTGAAACTCAACTGCATTCTTCTCTTTTCATGTCTGTTTCTCCATTAGAGTCTTTCTTTAACGACCCGCCCTTCCTGCTCTAAGTTTTCCTGATGTTTTTATTTTAAGTACCCTGGTGTCAGATTAGTCTGCCTCTAATAGTGTCTACCTTTTTAACACCCATTTAAAAGTACATGAAACTCAAGGTGAAAACAGAACAAATATTGTGGCTCATAAAAACCTTTCTGCAAAGTTTGAATAAACTCCTAAAGGCTAAAGTAAGCGTGACTTGGCCCAGGGCTGGTGCTGGTTCTGTGTCCCTCGGTCCTGCTGGTCATCCTCTCAGTCCAGCTCTCTTCTTCCTCTCCAGACAGTATTAAGCAGCCAGGAATCTATTTAGATCAGTTCAAACCATTTTATAAACACAGAGAATCCACACTAGAGGTGGAGGCAGAGTTCTTCTTCATTACAAACAAGCATTGATAACAGAAACTATTATTATCCACCATAAAGAGCTTTATTAAACACTCAACTAAAGAAACTAATCAAACAGCTTTGGAGGCTTTTTGCCAATCACTGCAACATCCTCTTTGGAATAAAATATAATTTCAGCTAAAATGTAAGGAAATGATTTAATCCTACTTCTCAGCATCTATGATGCTAAAGTAGTGATTACATATTACACATTGCATCAGGTTCTTATGGATCGATTTTACCCTCAACAGATCAAACAATTATTTGAAAACTGTATTTTGAACTTACTCAGGTTATGTTTGTCTGAATTCCAGTTATACCACAATACTTACATAGAGTGTTTCGTACTTCTGTCCAAAATACGTGATGGGACACGAGCTGATGTTTAACTCAGAATTGGAAAATAATTGTCCAGCAGCACCTGCAGAAACATGAGAGATGTGACTCAAGGTCTGTCACCAACTTGTCACATCAAGTTTTTCTTCTATCAGATCTTTAAAGTCTTTTGTTGATTCAACTGAAAGTATGTTGAAACCTCTCATCATTTCCACTGTTCTGAAGGTTAGGTCAGGATATTTGACCCAGTTAAGTCAGAAATAAAGACTTTAGATGTGTTTCCACACTAGTTTTAATAACGGGGCCATCAGACATCACAGCCTCTATGTGCATACCAGGCAGCGCCATGACTGCAAACAGGAGGAACAGGAGGCGGAGCATGTTGGCAGAGGCTGGTCAGATGATCTGGAAGACAGAGAAATCATCTGTTTTAATTGACCGACAGACAAAATCAGAAATGTTTCCCTGAAAGCATTTGTTAATCTGAATAGATGAACCATTGGAATGAGTCACAGTTATTCTCAATTACTTTAGATAGAAAATAAAGACATTTTTAGTTGAACAGACATGGCTGCCCATGAAAGCAGAAGCTCATTCTGGTATACTATTTAATTTATTACTGACTAATTTCTGATAATAAATGTATATTTTATCATCAGACTGACTGATTCGCATGTTTATGTGTTAAACAATGTGAGCAGTCTAGCTGAAGCCCAGCTTTAGTTTCAGAAAGAAGAGACAGGCCTCCCAGGTATTGAGAGAAAGAGGAAGAAGCCCAATGACTTTGTGCTCCACATTTATTAGTCTAATAAACTTAAACCAGTCCTGTTATTCTAGAAAGGACTGGAACCAAAAGGCTGCTAGTTAGTTAGTTAACCTGCTCAACAATGCAACAGTTAATAGGATCCTGAACTTTGGATAGAGAGGAATAGCAAAAAGAAATGATTATTGATCATTATAACATGTTTCTTTGACAGGTTGTGACTGACTGATGATGTCATAAACTATGAACTCATCACATCAGGGCGATCTGACGAGCAAGGCAAACAAAGCCGTCTTTTTTTCTCTCCTCATGCTCCATCTCTATTTTTCCACATAGTTTTCTGCTCTTATTTCTCTCTCCCACTCTGTCCCACTGAGGCTAGCAGATCAACCTGGTGTTACATATTAAATAAAACCAGTATTTCCTTCTCAATTAAATGAAAAATACTTCATCCCAAGGGAAATTAAATGTTTGAAGGTTAAAGTCGCAGTCTATCCCATAGCGGATATTTTTGGGGTTTTAAGGAGTTCCCAAAAAACATGGCAACAAAAATCTACATTACAATAGGATAAAATGTTGAAATTACCATTCGATAAAAACCAAAAATACTGAAAGAAGTAATTTATCACATGTATGCTATGCATCTTTACTGTTTTCAAGTACAATTAGGACAATCCCATATTTACTGACTAAATATGGGGGAAAAAAGATGCTCAGATGATGATGATGATGATGATGACAGACTATGTAAATTGTTATAGTTTTATAGTTGCTGTTGTTTTGTTTCAGGAGATTTATGAATGTATTAATTGGAGTGCGTGTTTTTATGTTATATTGCAGCCTTGTCTTCTATCCAAAGACAAATTCCTGCCAAAAATAAAATAGCCTATAATACCTAATATTTAATTTCTAAGTATTTTAATGTTATATCATGGTTACAACTAAAGGCTGACAAAATACCAAAGGGCCTTATAAACATTTTACCAGCAATTTTAACCTGAGGTAAGATTTCCATATACAAAAACGATTGAATAGCATATAAAGGTGATTCATGATTTCATTTTTTTTTCTTGTGGGGGGGGGGGGGGGGGGGGGGGGGGGATAAATAGACAACTTGTAAGAAACACTAATCAAATCATTGATCACGGGCCAATGTGTATTTTCATAATAATAAAATGAAAAATAAAGAGTATGCAGGGAACCTTTTTTAATGCATGCTGATGCTGGGCATGGTTTGCCACGGTTGCTAGGTTGTTACCAGGGACTCTAAAGCGCGAAGAGGAATCTGAAGAGATAATGACATCTATCACAACTGATGGGGCTCCATCTATGGTTGGGCGCACTGCTGGATTCGTTGCTCTATTTAAGCCGTCTGAAACTTTCCTGGATTTTTTGGATCTACCACTGCGTCATTCTTCAACAGCAGCTGTGGGGCAATATTTTAAATATGAAGCATGTCATTGACGTTGCGATGAAGATCGCTTGCTCTGTTCAGGCCGGGAGTTTCCAGAGGCGTTTATTTCGTGCCCTTTTGCACTTTTTTTTCCCTTTTTCCATCACTAATTGACAGTTTGTGTGTGTATCAATTGGTTTATTTAGATTTTTTGACTGCACAGCCTTTGTCTGGAGGTCTCGACTGCTCCTTTATGTAGTTTTGGTGAGTCTGATGAGTGAGTGAGTGAGTGAGTGAGTGAGTGAGTGAGTGAGTGAGTGAGTGAGTGAGTGAGTGAGTGAGTGAGTGAGTGAGTGAGTGAGTGAGTGAGTGAGTGAGTGAGTGAGTGAGTGAGTGAGTGAGTGAGTGAGTGAGTGAGTGAGATATGGTGTGAAGTTCTTATGAGAGTGTTAAGTTCTGTTTTTGAAACCTATTTTTTGACACAATTGCTCATTTCCCCGTTTGTTGGACTTACTGTTTATTCTCCACCTGTGCAAATAAAAAACAAATACTGCCCATCTCTTGTGTTTGGCTTGGTAGATCTCGGCATGCCATCAACTTCAAAAGTAGATCTTGCTTTAAAAAAAGGTCGGGCACCCCTGATGATGACACAGTATCAGCTGGCCCTAAAGCAATTCTGGCAAACTGCCTGGAATGTCTGTAGGCAGAGACAATGCTTCCCTAACAGGTTTTTCAGTACGAGCAGGGAGCTACTGAGATCCCCCAGGCTGGAGTTACACAGGCGGCTCTGTTGTGATGGAGAGCCGAGCCAACAGGCCTTTGGTCGTGACATCTGGACCATGACTGATGGAACAGCATCTCAGATACACATCTCAGCAGGATGGCAGGGCTTCTCCCAATTCTGATGATTCAGCTTGGATCAAACATTTGTGGCGTTTTCCCCAAAACACATGTGGAGGTTTCCTCACTGACTATATTATTTTGTGAGGAAAAATGCACTTTTTCCATATTTGATTTGATGAAAATAATATAAACACTCCAACCATTAAGCTCTACAGCTATTTTTAAAAGGCCGTTACTAAATATTGTGTACTTATTTTTATCGTCTGTAAACTAAACAGACGGCTACGGTTCACAAACTAAGCACATAAAAAGTCAAGGTCTGGGTTTATTTTAAGACGCTGTTCTAATCCTTGATCATACTAAAACAGATTAATTAATTTAAATGTTAACTATTGAACAGGATAGCAATCTAATTTTTTAATACCTCCTACTTTGCAATAATTTCATTAAAATCCACATGTCTGATTACAGAAATGTCAGCTGGCCTTACCTTTACAGCAGGATGAGGATCGGGAAGGCCACTGCTCAGGAGGCTGTGGGCTCGGTGGATGCTCCTCTGTCTGATGGACTCTGCTGGTGACACGGGTTTTATCCTGGCTGATGAGGAGGAAGGGTTTACAGCGAATCAGCTGAGGGGAAGGTGTCAAACTAACGACACACCTACAGACCTAAATATGATCATATCCGGAATTAGTGACGTATATCGTACCATTGGCTGCTGTGCTACCTGCAGTAACATGGAACTGTAATAAACACTATAGGAATGTGCTTTACCGTGGAAGAGGCACATTATAGAAGAATGTCTTACTGTGAAAAGGTGTGGAACATTCTAAATGCACCTTACACAACAGCGAAACATTTCCTCGTATTTTCCTTTGCATGTGTGACACATTATAGCTGAGCTTGAAGATGAAGCCACAGGTCTTTCAGCTTTGATTCTGTAATTCTACATCAAAGATCCTAAACGTAATGTAGTGAAACATCATTCAGTCGTTAGGCTCTATTCATGATCTAAAGGTCAGCAGACTCTGCCTGACGTGAATACAGTAATAGTTCTCACTACATTTAGACATTTTCAACTTGCAGCAATTGGGTATCAGATGTGTATTTATTTTGGTTCAGCTTACTAAAAGCGTGATATATTGTAAGTGTCAGCATCTCAGCTTCCTCACTCCTGCATAGGACGGCTCAAGGATGACTGTGAAACACGCAACCTGTCAATAAGGTCAATATATCCCCACCCCATTGCTGAGTGCAGCTTACTGGGTGGTTGAACAGGTGCGACGCGTGGTTCTTCCTGTTTCCCTAGAAACTGCTGGGGAATCTAAACCAGATAACAAGCCATGCATCTATCATGTAACAGCAGATCAGTGGAATTTCTGAAAACAGTGCAATGGCTGCCATCCCTTTGCACGTATGCATGTCTTTATTGAAATACCTATGGACGTGTGGGATGCTTTGCACCTTAATCCCCTAATCTGCAACCGTTTTTTTGTTTGTTTGTTGTTTTACATGTAGAATAGTGGCTTTTATCCTTGAGATGCAGGGAAGAGCCTTTTGCTCATCACAAAAGCTGCAGCCAGAGTTAGGATGAAAATCAAAAAGAGAGATCATATTTCTCCTGTTTTAGCTTCTCTTCATTGGCTTCCTGTGAAAACAGGAATAGAATTTAAAGGTTCTCCTTCTCACATATAAAGCCCTAAACAACCAAGCTCCATCTTAGATCAGTGATCTGGGGCCTGGGGTATAAAGTATATCTGCTTTCAAAAAAACACGCAGCACAATGTTTCACACAAAATTTGGGAAAGATGAATATGAACTTTGTGTGAACGTGTGCGGCAATACTTTTCAATTCAGTTCAGTTCATTTCTATAGCGCTAATTCACAGCACATGTCATCTCAAGGCTCTTTCCAGTTCACCAGATCATACAGTCAAATTGATTCAAAGTTTTCTATCTAAGGAAAACCAGTTGATCAAGGGCAACACCAGGGGGTGGCCGAGGGTGGACACCCTGGGCTATGACCAGGCCGCCCCACAGCCATGTTAGCTGATGTTATATGAAGTTACCTATGATGGCCTGGAAGAATCATTTCCAACTGGGACACATGGAGAGAGGCTTTGTGCCGTTTATACGTCTTTACAGATTCATTTGTAAATGGGCTCTGGGTGGTCCTGGCAGTTCTTCCAGCTGCGTTCTATTTCACACAACTTGGGATGCATAAAAGGAAGGTGTTTGTGGTTGAAGCTCTATGCACATTTTATATATTCCATTTCCCACTGCACATCTCTAAATTTCTCCTTAACTTTCAGTATGAAACATGTTCACACTTATGTATCAGCCCCCTGATTTTTGTTTTAACAGAGAACGTTGTTCTCATTCTGCAGGTTTACTAGTGGTTCTTAGAATTTCTAAAAGTAGAATGGGAGGCAGATCTTTTAGTTATGAGGCTCCTCTCCTGTGGAACCAACTACCAGTTTTAGCCTGTGGGAGCAGACACCCTTCCTTGGGTTAACCTAAGCTATCTGTTCCTTATGCTCCTTATCCTACTTCTTCACTTAAACCAGCTGAAAGATCAACTGCTTAAAAATATCGGATCCTAGATGTAGATTTAAAGAATCAAAGCTAAAAGTGTCGGGGCGCTGTGGTAACTACCTGCCGGTTCGGCATTCTCGCCCCTTTTTTTCCCTGCAGGTGGCTGCGGACGTGCGGGGTGGTGCTGAACACACGTGTACTGCGTTTCATGGTTGTGGGACGTCTTAAAAGAGAGCGGCTGTCAGCACCTCAACGCTGGATTATTTGCCTTACCTGGTATCAGCACTATCGGCCAGCGTCCCATGACGTATTCTCTCTCTAAGAGCTCCATTCCTGTCTCCTAGGTTGTCTTGATCCAGAACCCTCTTGGAGAACCCCTCAAAAACGCTGATTCCTGCCGGGCATAAACACTACCGTTCAAAAGTTTGGGGTCACAGTTAAATTTCCTTATTTTTTAAGGAAAAGCACCGTACTTTTCAATGAAGATAACTTTAAATTAGTCTTAAATTTAAAGAAATACACTCTATACATTGCTAATGTGGTAAATGACTATTCTAGCTGCAAATGTCTGGTTTTTGGTGCAATATCTACATAGGTGTATAGAGGCCAATTTCCAGCAACTATCACTCCAGTGTTCTAATGGTACAATGTGTTTGCTCATTGGCTCAGAAGGCTAATTGATGATTAGAAAACCTTTGTGCACCTCGTGTTCACCCATCTGAAAACAGTTTGGCTCGTTACAGAAGCTACAAAACTGACCTTCCTTTAAGCAGATTGAGTTTCTGGAGCATCACATTTGTGGGGTCAATTAAACACTAAAAATGGCCGGAAAAAGAAAACTTTGATCTGAAACTCAACAGTCTATTCTTGTTCTTAGAGATGGAGGCTATTCCATGCAAGAAATTGCTAAGAAATTGAAGATTTCCTACAACGGTGTGTACTACTCCCTTCAGAGGACAGCACATACAGGCTCTAACCAGAGTAGGAAAAGAAGTGGGAGGCCGCGTTGCACAGTTGAGCAAGACGATAAGTACATTAGAGTCTCTAGTTTGAGAAACAGATGCCTCACAGGTCCCCAACTGGCATCTTCATTAAATAGTACCTGCAAAACACCAGAGTCAACATCTACAGCTGCGGGATTCTGGGCTTCAGGGCAGAGTGGCAAAGAAAAAGCCACATCTGAGACTGGCCAATAAAAGAAAAAGATTAAGATGTGCAAAACAACACTGACATTGGAGACAGATGAAGCTGACAACACTGACAGATGAAGCCACGTGTCTTTTAGGCTTTTATTCTCTAATTCTACACCAAGGATCCTAAATCTGATGTAGTGACGCATCTTTGAGTTTTCAGGATCTAGTCCTGATTTCCTGGAGCTTCACCTTCAAAATAGCGTTCTTCATTGTTGAACCACTTCAGAGGTGAAGCACATTTGAAAAATAAAAGAAACCTAATAAAGAAAATCTTGATGTCTAGAGCTACATGTGTGATATAATTCAAACCCCAAACAGGTCCACATCTTTTTTATTAAGATGTATTCTATTTACAAAAGCACATTCATGCACAGATCAGGCTCTGTCAGAAATATAAATACAGTAATAGCTCGGTTTACATTTGGAAATAATCTATGAGCTATAATTGTCTCTCCGATTATGATCCATTCAGGTGGATTTTATTAAAGGTAGAACATTTTACATCTCAGCTTTCTCCTCCTTACACGGAGCAGCTCAGGGATGACTGGGAAATACAGCCTTTCCTATTGCAAAGAGTGCAGCTACTGAGCAGCTGAACAGGAATGACGCATGGTTCATCCTGGTTTCCTCTATGGTGGAGCAAAACTGACATCATTAGAAATAAAAGCAGATTCTGCTGCAGGTTTCTTCCTGTTTAAAGGGACAATTTGCTCTCAGCTGTTTCTTACATAGAAACATTTTATATGTGATTGAATTGTCTGTGTAAAGTAGCTGTAGATGACATGTGCGGTAAATTGGTATTATATAAATAAGAAGAATTGATTATTTTGATTGTCTATTTTATATTCATTCCTACATGCTCTATATTTTAGATGCACCATAAAAAACTGCCCAGAAAAGCAGAATAAAAAAATTTTTTAGCTGAGATTTTTTTATAAAGAAAGGCAAGAGGATGGAAAAAATATCTGCTACAAACTATTTAGTCCAGTGACTGAGGAAATGATTAACTGACCAAAACCTGTTTAGAGAAAAATGTTCCTATAGCAGATGAATAGAAGCTTTGAAGGACGTTTGATCATTGGAAACTGAGCTGACTGCAGAAATTAGCAGCTGGTCTTACATTTTACAGGAGGATGAAGATGATGAAGGCCAGTGTGCAGGAGGCTGAGGGTTTGGTGGATGCTCCTCTGCCTGATGGTCTCTGCTGGTGTCATCCTGCCTAAAGAGGAGGAAGGGTTCACAGTGAATCAGCTGAAGCAAAGAGGTCAGACTAAAGACAAACCTACAGGTGGAAACTTGAATGGGATCATATCTGGGGTTATGGAGCTGTGGAGCTGTGGCAGCAAGTGATCATGACTAGAGCAACAACTGAAAGGTGACAGCTAGAAGATGCATCACTACATAGATTTAGGATCCTAGATGTAGATTTAAAGAATCAAAGCTAAAAGTGTCGGGGCGCTGTGGTAACTACCTGGCTGTTCGCCCCTTTTTTTCCCCACAGATGGCTGCGGACGTGCGGGGTGGTGCTGAACACAGGTGTACTGCGTTTCATGGTTGTGGGATGTCTTAAAAGGGAGCGGCTGCTTTACCGTGGAAGAGGCACATTATAGAAGAATGTCTTACTGTGAAAAGGTGTGGAACATTCTAAATGCACCTTACACAACAGCGAAACATTTCCTCGTATTTTCCTTTGCATGTGTGACACATTATAGCTGAGCTTGAAGATGAAGCCACAGGTCTTTCAGCTTTGATTCTGTAATTCTACATCAAAGATACTAAACGTAATGTAGTGAAACATCATTCAGTCGTTCTATTCATGATAAATTGTTGTAGTGTAAATTGTAGTAGCATCGGTTTAGCGTTTCACCCCATTACAGGTGCTGGTCATAAAATTAGAATATCATGAAAAAGTAGATTGATTTCAGTAATTCCATTTAAAAAGTGAAACTTGTATATTATATTCATACATTACATACAAACTCATATATTTCAGATGTTTATTTTGTTTAATTTTGATGATTACAAATGACAACAAATGAAAATCTCAAATTCATCATATCAGAAAATTAGAATATTACTGAAGACCAATAAAAACAAAGGATTTATAGAAATGTTGGCCAACTGAAAAGTATGAACATGAAAAGTATGAGCATGTACAGCACTCAGTATTTAGTTGGGCCTCCTTTGGCCTGTATTACTGCAGCAATGCGGCGTGGCATGGAGTCGATCAGTCTGTGGCACTGCTCAGGTGTTATGATAGCCCAGGTTGCTCTAATAGTGGCTTTTAGCTCTTCTGAATTGTTGGGTCTGGTGTATTGCATCTTCTTCTTCACAATACCCCATAGATTTTCTATGGGGTTAAGGTCAGGAGAGTTTGCTGGCCAATTAAGAACAGGGATACCATGGTCCTTCAACCAGGTACTGGTAGCTTTGGCACTGTGTGCAGGTGCCAAGTCCTGTTGGAAAATGAAATCTGCATCTCCAAAAAGTTGGTCAGCTGCAGGAAGCATGAAGTGCTCTAAAACTTCCTGGTATGTGGCTGCGTTGACCCTGGACCTCAGAAAACACAATGGACCAACACCAGCAGATGACATGGCACCCCAAACCATCACTGACTGTGGAAACTTTACACTGGACTTCAAGCAACGTGGATGAAGTGCCTCTCTTCTTTTCCTCCAGACTCTGGGACCTTGATTTCCAAAGGAAATGCAAAATTTACTTTCATCAGAGAACATGACTTTGGACCACTCACCAGCAGTCCAGTCCTGTTTCTCTTTAGACGCTTCTGACGCTGTCTGTGGTTCAAGAGTGGCTTGACACAAGGAATGCGACAGCAGAAACCCATGTCTTTCATACGTCTGTGTGTGGTGGTTCTTGAAGCACTCACTCCAGCTGCAGTCCACTCTTTGTGAATCTCCCCCACATTTTTGAAGGGGTTTTGTTTCACAATCCTCTCCAGGGTGCGGTTATCTCTCTTGCTTGTACACTTTTTTCGACCACATCTTTTCCTTCCCTTCGCCTCTCTATTAATGTGCTTGGACACTGAGCTCTGTGAACAGCCAGCCTCTTTAGCGATGACCTTTTGTGTCTTGCCCTCCTTGTGCAAGGTGTCGATGGTCGTCTTTTGGACAACTGTCAAGTCAGCAGTCTTCCCCATGATTGTGTAGCCTATAGAACTAGACTGAAAGACCATTTAAAGGCTTTTGCAGGTGATTTGAGTTAATTAGCTGATTAGAGTGTGGCACCAGGGGCCATCAATTTTGAACCTTTTCACAATATTCTAATTTTCTGATATGATGAATTTGAGATTTTCATTTGTTGTCATTTGTAATCATCAAAATTAAACAAAATAAACATCTGAAATATATGAGTTTGTATGTAATGTATGAATATAATATACAAGTTTCACTTTTTAAATGGAATTACTGAAATCAATCTACTTTTTCATGATATTCTAATTTTATGACCAGCACCTGTATGCACCCAGCAATGCAGCTGCTCTCCCTGTCCTCCTCGCACACTGTAGTCCTCCTGCTCAGCCCCTCCCCTACCCGATATTTGTTTGCACATGCGCAAATGAGCTACCGGTACAGATGGCGCCTTAGGTACAGATCAGGTACTCACATCGCTCTTCTGCGCTTGGAGAACTACGGCTCAGCCCGTGCCCACTTTAACGGTTAGGAAGCGTTTAAAACTACCAGTAAGTAAATAAGTCAAATCATCAAAGGGGGATATGTGAACTGTAACATTATAATGTTAAAGCAGCTTTTAGTGTGTTTTAGACACAGTTATGTAGCTAACTGGATGAGTTGGTGATTGTGGATGGATGGTCAATATTCAGACATGAAGAGACAGTCCACAGAAATCTGTTCTGATTTTAAGAAGAATTACAGCAGAAGCAGAGAAAGAGATGGGCAACCAGTGAGGAGGAGCAGGAGGAGGAGGAGAAGAGAGAGGAGGAGAAGGAGGGGGACCAGGAGGATGAGGAGAAGAGAGAGGAGGAGAAGGAGGAGGACCAGGAAGATTAGGAGAAGAGAGAGGAAAAGGCAGAGCAGGAGGATGAGGGGAAGAAGGAGGAGGACCAGGAGGATGAGGGGAAGAAGGAGGAGGGGCAGGAGGATGAGAAGAAGGAGGAGGAGGAGATGAAGAGAGCAGGAGGGTGAGGAGAAGAGAGAGGAGGAGGAGGAGAACCAGGAGGATGAGGAGAAGACAGAGGAGGAGAAGGAGGAGGAGCAGGAGGATGTGGAGAAGAGAGAGGAGGAGAAGGATGAGAAGAGAGGAGGAGGAGGGGAAGAGAGAGGAGGGGAAGGAGGAGGTGCAGGAGGATGAGGAGAAGAGAGAGGAGGAGCAGGAGGATGAGGAGAACAGAGAGGAGGAGAAGGAGCAGGAGGATGAGGACAAGACAGAGGAGGAGAAGGAGGAGTAGGGTGAGGAGAAGGGAGAAGGAGGAGGGGCAGGAGGATGAGGAGAAGAGAGAGGAGGAGAAGGAGGATGAGAAGAAGGAGGAGGAGGAGATGAAGAGAGCAGGAGGGTGAGGAGAAGAAAGAGGAGGAGAAGGAGGAGAACCAGGAGGATGAGGAGAAGAGAGAGGAGGAGAAGTAGGAGGAGCAGGAGGATGTGGAGAAGAAAGAGGAGGAGAAGGAGGGGGATGAGGAGAAGAGAGAGGAGGAGAAGGAGGAGACCAGGAGGATGAGGGGACGAAGGAGGAGGGGCAGGAGGATGAGGAGAAGAGAGAGGAGGAGAAGGATGAGGAGAAGAGAGAGGAGGAGAAGTAGGAGGAGCAGGAGGATGTGGAGAAGAGAGAGGAGGAGAAGGAGGGGGACCAGGAGGATGAGGAGAAGAGAGAGGAGGAGAAGGAGGACCAGGAGGATGAGGGGAAGAAAGAGGAGGAGAAGGAGGAGGGGCAGGAGGATGAGGAGAAGGAGGAGGACCAGGAGGATGAGGAGAAGAGAGAGGAGGAGAAGGAGGAGGGGCAGGAGGATGAGGAGGAGCAGGAGGATGAGGAGAAGATTGAGGAGGAGGCGGAGAAGGAGGATGAGGAGAAGAGAGAGGAGAAGGCGGAGGGGGAGGAGAAGGAGAAGGAGGAGGTGAGGAGAGCAGGATGATGAGGAGAAGAGAGGGGAGGAGGGGGAGGAGAAGGAGGAGGTGAAGAGAGCAGGAGGGTGAGGACAACAGAGAGGAGGAGAAGGAAGAGGACCAGGAGGATGAGGGGAAGAGAGAGGAGGGGAAGGAGGAGGTGCAGGAGGATGAAGAGAAGAGAGAGGAGGAGGACCAGGAGGATGAGGAGGATGAGGAGAAGAGAGAGGAGTAGAAGGAGGAGGGACAGGAGGATGAGGAGAAGGAGGAGGAGGAGATGAAGAGAGCAGCAGGGTGAGGAGAAGAGAGAGGAGGAGAAGGACGAGAACCAGGAGGATGAGGGGAAGAGAGAGGAGGAGAAGGAGGAGGACCAGGAGGATGAGGAGAAGAGAGAGGAGGAGAAAGAGCAGGAGTATGAGGACAAGAAAGAGGAGGAGAACAAGGAGGAGGGTGAGGAGAATAGAGAGGAGGAGAGAGAGGAGGGCCCGGAGGATGAGAAGAGAGAGGAGGAGAAGGAGGGGGACCAGGAGGATTAGGAGGAGAGAGAGGAGGAGAAGGAGGAGGACCAGGAGGATGAGGAGAAGAGTGAGGAGGAGGTGGAGAAGGAGGATGAGGAGAAGAGAGAGGAAGAGGCGGAGGGGGAGGAGAAGGAGGAGGTGAAGAGAGCAGGAGGGTGAGGATAACAGAGAGGAGGAGAAGGAAGAGGACCAGGAGGATGAGGGGAAGAGAGAGGAGGAGAAGGAGGAGGACCAGGAGGATGAGGAGAAGAGAGAGGAGGAGGCAGAGCAGGAGTATGAGGACAAGAAAGAGGAGGAGAACAAGGAGGAGGGTGAGGAGAATAGAGAGGAGGAGAGAGAGGAGGGCCCGGAGGATGAGAAGAGAGAGGAGGAGAAGGAGGGGGACCAGGAGGATTAGGAGGAGAGAGAGGAGGAGAAGGAGGAGGACCAGGAGGATGAGGAGAAGAGTGAGGAGGAGGTGGAGAAGGAGGATGAGGAGAAGAGAGAGGAAGAGGCGGAGGGGGAGGAGAAGGAGGAGGTGAAGAGAGCAGGAGGGTGAGGATAACAGAGAGGAGGAGAAGGCAGAGGACCAGGAGGATGAGGGGAAGAGAGAGGAGGAGAAGGAGGAGGGGCAGGAGGATGAGGA